CTCAATTTAGTAAATCCTTCAAAACAGATATAGCATTTGTCAATCATAATGACTTCGCCAAAAATACAATGTAACTATCCCAGTTGCACATATTGTTTTCAAAACATCATTATTTCTTTCTTTTAAGGAAAGATAACTCAGCTTAATATCGATCTTACTAAATTATCTAGCGCTTCAAAACTAATTAAATAAATCATCAATACTACATAAAAGATATTTACTTCATGTTGTTGCCTTATTCAGCTAGTAATAACCTATGTACCATTTTACAATCCAATCATTTTCACAACATGAGCACCCCACAACAAATTGCTAAGTCGAATAAATCTTCAGTTTAATATATTTTCAATTGAATTTTCAATGCCTCTAGTTCAGCAAGAACCATTCGATATGGAATAATAATTATAAGTAAAGTACCTGAAGCTACAAAAATGTAAACCTTATCTTTCTCCAATTGTGGCATAAACAACTTTTCTCAAAATATATTTGAAAATTTTACTTCTACTGATATCTCCTCAAGAGACACTCCCTCGTTCCGTGCAACAATGATACTAGCAATATTTCTCTGAAAATCTTTCCTCACCCCATTTTTGAGCTTACACTCGTAGAGTTAATACTAGGGATTAAATAAATCATGTTCCCTCAAAACTAAATCTGCATGACTCTCTTTTCAAAATATTCGATTTTCATATGTTGTGTGACTAATTAGTCCATAATTAATATCATATCAAAATCCCTAAGGTCTAAAAATACTCCATAAACTAGTAATTGTTGTTTTTCAATATGAATTTTACAACTTGGGTGCACGATATCACCTAACTCACAACCACCCGTAAGAGTTATCACTATCAAAATCAAACTCAAATATTTTGGGTTCCACACCCAATCACACTCCTACTCTATGAGACACAGAAGAATGTATAGACCCTAAAATTCCATTAGTGCAGTCACATTTCTTACAACACTCTTACCATCTCTTTTTTTTTTTCAACTATCTCTTGTTTGTACAAAATATCAAGCAAATTATCTAGTCTTAGTCATTACACAAATCATTCTATTAACTATTAATATCATTTTGTATCCCTCGAACTAAAATCGATTGAAGCCTACACAACCACTCAGATCCAGCTTAATCCTCTGGTAATTCATAAACCTAAGCTCTAATACCACTCTTGTCACACCCCCACCCCAGATCACATAGGGTGAGCAGCGGACCGGCCACCAAGGTCATAACCAACCATCCCCTGTACATAATTAATGCAAAATACAACGGAAGACAAATAATAAGTGATCTTTTTTACCGACCTAATAAATACCAGAGAAATAAACTAACACCACCGATATTATTACTAAACGCATATAAAACAATAATTAATCCATAAGGTTCACTATTCTAAGCAATAATAACATTGTTCTCAAAACAATCGAATATTTGTCTCAAAACTATAAAAAAAAAATTATTCCTGAAGATCTACAATAAAATAAATCTTCGATTCTTCTAATTCCTTGTCTATCCGAGGACTTATTCCTCCTCCTCATCCTCACCTGAAAAATGTTAAATATTTGGGTGAGCACAAAGGCCCGTGAATAATAACCACCTCTACTGAGGTTTGAAAATAAATCTCACATTTCATATACACAGAAATAAATTTTGTTATATACATAAATACAATAAATTGTACCCCAATCTCTTTCACATAACCATGTAAACAAAATGATCTCATGATCATAATAACTTTATAAAAGAAAAGACATTTATAGCTCAAAACACTCACACACATATTCAGTCTCAAATATACTTGTCAAATCATATTTGTTACCACTAGCCTGGTAACTGGCCCCATCTCTTTCATCACTAGCCTGATGACTGATCTCATCTTTTGTTATCACTAGCTTAATAATTGGCCCCTATGTGCACATTCCTATACCGACCATGCCGGTATACAATCTCGTTACCATTTAGACCTGGTAACCCAGTCTCCTTCTCATAAAATATGATTTCAACACACACACTAAAACTGTTGTTTTAGTCCCATCGCACACAAAATTTCTCTTCCATCAGCAAAACCATTTAAGCAATAATATAAAATTATCTCATAAGTTTTAAAAATTCACATATGTAACAATTCACAATTGCAAAAATATTTAATTGCAACCCCAAATATCAACATATATCATATATATGAAAAATTCACACACACGCATCCACAAGTTTAATATAGAAAATCCTCCCAAAAGAAGTAAATAAACTACACACCTTGATTTTCAAAATTCAATTCAAGTCACTCTTTCTCAACCTCAATACAATCACCACCTAATTCAAAATAACATGTAACGATCAATCCTTATTTCTAACTTCGTCATTTCGTAATTCTATATTTAATTTACGTACTTTTTACTCTTTGATATATACTTAATATATCATTTACATATAAACATCCTTTCTAATACGAGAGAATAGGAAATGGAAGTATTCTGGCTTGTTTAGAAAAAATTTTTAAAATTTTGGGGTCAAATTATAATTTTTGAAATTTTTGGGGTCAAAGTATAATTTCCTTTAAAACGAATTTTCTGTCTTCGGGGCTGCCATAAATTTTTCAGAATTCTGTTCTTACAACTTACCAAATAAAAAAAAATACTTAAAATTAAGTTTAGAAGAATAAATGGGTCAAAATAAAATTCTTTAAAATTAAATGAGAGCTTTCTATAATTTCTGAATTGGTCTTCTTCTACCTGCGGTCATCCAGGTTGTTTGTTCTGCCGCAACAATTCCAAACCTTTTTCTTTTCTTTTCTTTTTCAACCTATTGATTAGTCAACTATAAGTCTAAATTCAATCTAATAAATTTCAATAATAATAAACAATTATCATGAAACTCATTTTGTATATGTGTATATATACATATTACGCAATATTATTATCATCAATCTAATATCATGTGATTGAATAAACTATAAAACTTATAAAATAAATAATAAACTCACATTTAAAGGACTTAATCCATTTATCTTCTTCCTCCTTCTTTCTTTTCTCTCTCTTTCCCTCTTTCACATTATTTTTTTCTTTTTTGTTCATAGGACAGCCTCTTCCATAAGCCTTTTCACCAAAAGACCCTACAACCTAAATATATTTTTATATATATAAGGGTTTGACATATCTAACAATACTATCTTATTTAAACTATATGTATAAGAACCTTAATAGGTCTCTAGGTAAGACTTTTTATTAGAGATATAATAGTCTTTTTTTTTAAAATTATTTTTATCATTATATATATATATATAATTACTCCTTGGTAGCCGATGCACCAAAATAATATAATAATTTTTTTTTATGGGTAATTCCATTCTATGTACTTCACATTGTCCATGAATATCTTAAACTGTTTCTCTTTCTCTGTGTTGTTCGTGTAAACGCGTCCATGGTACTCTATCCATTGCTTGTGCTTCTTGGCCATGATAGCTTCATCAAATGAGCTCGACTGAGCTTTTTGACAAGCTAAGCCCCCGAAAACTACCAGAAGAACAGTGACCAAAAGACTGTTTAGTATTGAAGCCATTGTCTGTAAACTTTAAAATGACTGTGGTAATATTTTTTGACAGAAGCTTGTGAACACAAAGTAACACATTAGCCCTTTGAAGATCTCTAGCTATATATAGAAAACTGAATCACCCCTCAAGGCATATGTTATGTCTAATGATACTGAATGATCCATGCACTGTGCATGAGCAGTGACCTTAATAACAAACACCACAAATATAGGATTTGGTGCATATGTGCTGGGATTTTTGTTTTGTTTCATGGCATTAAGTTGCCGGATAGTTTATAGTTAAGTCGATCTTTAGACAAAGTTTTCTTATGAATTGTAAATTTTTTTTTTTGTTCTAATTATAAATTGTAAATCTGAAATTCATGTTTTTATATTTTGAACCCTCGATTGTGACCCCTTTTTTCACAATGTCCCATCAACCGTCACTAAGGTTGATAATCGATCCGAGCCTTACGAGCTCAAGCCGATTCTATGGAAGAGTTTAAAAAGTTATTCCAGTTCGACTCGTTTAGAAAATAAGTCGAATCCCAACTGACTCGAACTCGAGTCGAGCCCGAATAACTTAACTATTTTACATATAAACGAACCGAGTTTTGGGAGTTCGAACCTAACTTTTTAGGTTTGATTTTTTTAAATGAGTCTAAAAAATTGTTCAAACTCAACTTATTTAGAAAATGAACTGAGCCCGAATAAAATCCAAAACAAACCGATTTCAAGTCGTCCGAGCCATCACTCTGTGATGTCACAATACCATTATCGTGACCTCATTATCTCCTCATGCGCAATTTTTTCTAGCATTTCGTGTGTAACGTTTGGTGTCAGAACTTTGAGCCATGCCTCGTAATCTAGTGGAGCTCTTTGAGTTAAAACTCTATACCAACCTATAATTGCCTTGTTCATACAAGCGAAGAACGTATTGAACCTCTTCTACAGCTTTGCATTTGCAGAACCGTTTCCCATGTTAGCCATAGCATCAAATTGGTAATAACAAGGCCTTCTACCACAATTAATATAGAATGAACCAGTTGGCTCTTAGTCTATAAACAAGAGGACTAGTCCAAATCAGTTTTATAAATGGACCGCTGTAAATCTGACTAAACATGATATTAACCCCCTACAAATGGGCGTATACACAGCACGGACAGGTATGACATGTAGAATGCAGTGTTGTTTCGAGTTTGCAGCCAATCAAGATACTGAGAGTATGACTACAATGTATTAGCTGTTCTTTGCACTTTCGATTAATTACATATATATATAAGAACTGCATTGCATCACTAATACAGAGCTAAATGCAGCTAACATAACACACTTCCACACCATCGTACATAACAGAATGATAATTCACCCATCACATGGTAATATCTAAGCTTTTGGATAGGAAGAGTCCATAGCAATCCCACACAGGCCTTCTTTGGATTTGATATCTCTTTGCATCATCATGTATCCTTCATCTCCCCAAACTTGTGCCCCATGAATTATTGACTAACCAATACTTCGTGCCATCAGCCGTAGTCCCATACCCAACTGCCGTAACACCATGGTCTAGGTCGGTTCCACAATCTCCCGTGAAAACACCGCTCGAGTAAAATTGGAACGCAACTCCACTTGCATCAATGGAAACAGAAACTGGTTGATTAGCCACGGCCTTCAATAACGCCTTCTCACTGTTGGCTGGCACGTTCTCATAACCCTTGATCTCCGCAGCATGGGAAGCTTCTTCCTTAGCATTGCAAGTTCCATCAGTTGCCTGGTTTGGATAAGTTGCTTCAGTGGCTATCCCTTTGTTGTGTACAATAAATTCGAACCCATCTTCCATGTAGCCACCTTGGCATCCTTCATCTTCACCGCTTCTGTCACAGTCTACTAGCTTTTGCTCAGACAGTGAGATCAATTTACCAGTAGTAAGTTTGGTTATTCCTTCCGTGGCTGCTATCGTTGAAAACGCCCAACAACTTCCTGTTTGAGAAAAAACAAGTAAAATTGAACCGTCAGGGTACGAAGATCTTATCACTACATGACTACAGTGTCTTCCGAGGAACAAATACGTGCAGTCTTATTCTCTTTTCGGAAAGGCTATTTCTTGAGTGAGAAAAACAATAAATGGATATGAAAACTGTAGCTATAGAGTGAATTTGAGAAAAGAGTATTCCTTACCACATTGAACTTGATCCTTAATAGGCGTAACGGCTCCTTTCTTCCTCCAGTCCATAGTAGCTGGTACTGCAGTCACATTTTCATACTTAAACGAAGTAGTTTTTGACTTTGGATTGGATGGTTTCTTCAATCCATTGCGAGAGGCCTTGAACTCGTTATTTGTTTGGTCTGCAAATTCGTTGATGCTCAACTTATACGGGTTATTCCCAGCACTGTTGAAAGATTCTATGAACTCCACATTCTCCTTGAATATCTGTAAATGCCTTTCCTTCTCTACAAGGTCCTCGTAAACACGTTCATAACGAGCTATCCATTGCTCATGCTTCTCTGAGACCGATGCCTCAGGTAGGGTTCGGGATGCAGCCTGAGAAGCCCATATCCCGAGAATTATCAATGTTACGACAATCAATTTTTTTTCTAAGGATGAACCCATCGCATTCAAATTGAATGGTGATAACTATGATTTTGTAACGATTTGAATATGGAAGTACATTCCTTGTTAGAAATAGGTACATATATATAGAAAATGCATATGGTTCCTTGAAGTTTTGTTCTCACAAAGCTTCAGTCCCATGTGATGTAGACGCTGTTAGAGAAAGGGCCCTATTCCATGGCTTGCTGGGCAATCTGTAACGACTTGGACCACCCGGTTGTGTACCTTAAACGCTTCCCATTGAACATAGATTTTTTTTTTTTGCGTGTCAAATTTGAATTACATTGGAATATTGAATAGTCAAGCTTCTCTTATTAACTGTTTCTGTGGCACCCAGCGACCTGTTGTCATTTATAGTGCTAGATAGAAACTACAGTAACATACAGAATATTATAAAGTTGAAAACTTAAGTTATAACTTTTTGAGGGTCTAAATTATGACTTGAAATGATATAAATTATGATTCAAAAAATTATGTTAGAGTATTTTAAATAAAAGAGTGTTTTATATGTGAAAAATCAAATCTACATGAACATCGACTACATGCGCTAATGTTATCTAGTATTTGAATTAAAGTGAGACCCTGGAATTCTAATGTTTACGAAACACATTGCCTAGCCTAGTCCAAACCCGAGTAAGGGTAAATAGAATAAAATATTAACTAGTATTAAATCTATTTTTTAATATTTTATTTAATTATTTTTCGTCGTCACTTCTATATTAAAGATTCAATTTTTGAATAACAAATGTTCTAACGGCTAGTTTTCCAACAACTATTTTTTATTTAATTTTAATAGTTATTATCTGATTAAATATGGGAGAAATTACAGAATATTAAACACCTCTATTTTTTGTATATATTACATAGTTCACTATGGAAATATATAATTTGAATATTTATTATATTCTTCTCTGTTGCATAAGTTTTTAGACAAAATTGAAAGGTATCGTATGAAACTTCTACTTCATTCGATTATGTAGATTTGAGTAAACAATATCATGCCATATATTTTATCTTTCAGATTCTATTTTTTTTCTAACAAATTATGATTAATTATAAAATACTATAATCGGTCTTAAAAAATATTATTTTTAAAAGTCACGTTACATCTTTTAAAGATCAGTCACAACTTATTGAGTTTTTTTTAAAGATTGTTACAGACTAAAAATTGTTATTGATATCGTAGTGGTGATGTAACCTCAGAATGTCCCACATATATATTGTTTGGATTTTTCTGGGTAAAATTTTCTTTCTTATTCTACGATCCTTTTAGGACATGCCTGAATACTAATGCGAAACAAAACACAATTTTGCTCGTAGCGTAAATTCCACTTACACCTCCTGAATTATGACTCTTGTTTTATTTTGCCCCCTCAAGGTGACGTCAATTGAAATAACTCGTACCCATTCCACATAAAAAAAGAAGCAATTTGCAGAGACAAATTTGATTTAGTTTCACATTGGCATTGTTATTGTAGTTAATAGGATATTAGATATCGGAAATAATCAAGTACAAGGAAGAATCGAAATTTTTCTTAATAAACAAAAAATGAAACATTTATGACGGACCAACTAAACTCTCTCAAGACTTTCTTAAGAACAAAGAAGAGGTAGCTTGTGTAAATTCCATGGAATAAGGTTCGATCCTATTCACGGTGATTCTGTAGATATTTCATTGGGAAAATGGGAATAACCCATACAAGTTCAAGTACAGAGCATGAAGTAGGAAGGAGAATCAGTAATGCCTTTCTATGAACCTGCAATTGAAATTTTTCTGGGCATATTGTCTTTTACTCTCTCAATTATGAGCTTTTTTTACATTGCCCCTTGAACTATCGTATTTTTTACAACACATACTTAATTATTTGATTAATTTACATCACCCTCAATAGTAAGGTCTATTGCAAATTTAACAAAAAGTTATTTCATTTTGCCACCCGATTTAATGGAACGCAATAGGACCACCTAATTCAACTGCTCACATGATGTGGTTAAGAAAAAATCGGTGAGTGTCATATTGAGTCTGTTTGGAGCTATAAAATCAGGACCGGCCTAACAGTATGGAAAAAAAATCATGGGTTTTAGGGTCCAAATTTTTGGAAGGCCCTATAATTTTGGGTACATCACTAGTCCATAAAAATAAATTAAATCCATTAAATTTTAGAGATAATGGGATGTAAGTATCTTTTTCATAACTTATTTGACTTTAAGTACTACATCCAAACTTATCATTCTTTAAGTCCTCTTTTTCATCAAATAATTGTTAATAAGTACACGTTTTAAAACATTTTTAAATTCTTTTTGAAATGTATTCTATAATTACCCCTACCATAAATAGTGCATACATAATTGACAGTTTTTATATTTTCAATATCTAAATATTAGAATGTGAGACTTTCAAGATTCTTTTTGATATTTATGTATCATTTGAATTTTCAAATTTCATATATATATATATATATATAGCAACTTGAATTTTTATTCCCTAAATATATTTCCCCTTAAAAATATCACGTCACTCATTTTCATCATATGTGTAATCATATATATACTTCCCTTTTAAAAATATCATATCACTCATTTTCATCACATGTATAATCATTTATATATTTCTCTTTTAAAAATATCACATCACTCATTTCTATCATATGTTTAATCATTTCATATTTGATTAATTTGTAGTTAATATAATTTTTATTTCAAACATTATTCATATATGATAGTACACACATGTTGAAAAAATTTAATATAGTGTGATCAATTTTTTGGGAGTTCTAATTTTATATTTTATCGTGCCTTCAGACACGAATTATGACTACTATATATATATAAATAAAATATCAAACAGTAACACGTTCAACAAAAAAATAATAACATCCAATAGTAATACACTCAACAAAAAAATAATAACATCAAACAGTAACATACTCAATAAAAAAATTTAATCATTACAATAGAGTGACACCATATGTGAGTATTTATTCTGTTGTGGGGGTGTCACTCTATTACAATGATTAATTTTTTGTTAAATGTGTTACTGTATGATGTTACTATTTTTTTGTTGAGCGTGTTACTGTTTAATGTTTATTATTTTTATGTTGAGCGTGTTACTGTTTAATATTATAATATATATACATATATATGTGTGTGTGTATATATATACGTGTGCGTGTGTGTGTATATATATATATATATAATAATTATTGTTTTTATCTGAAAAAGAAGTTGTGTGTAATATTTTACATTCTTACAATAGTCAGGGAATCTGTATGTAATATTTTATATATAAAAAATTTGGGTGTAATTCCCCATAATAAAATTTAGAGTGCCAACTTCACATTGAAACTTTTTATCAACTTCACATTGTCCTTGAATATCATAAACCGTTTCTCTTTCTCTGTTATTCGAGTAAACACATCCATGGTTCGCCGTCCATCGCTTGTGTTTCTGTTTCATCAAATGTGATTGACATCGCTCTATGAAAAACTAGAGACCCGAAAATAACTAGAACGACAACATTCAAATGATTTTTCAGTGTTAAAGCCATTGTTTGCAAAATTCAAAGTGGTTGTAGTGATATTTTTTAACAAAAGATTATGAACGCAAAGGAATGCATTAGCCCGTTGAAGATTTAGCTATATATAGAAAATTGAATCACCCTCATGCATATATTTTGTCATGAAACATCCTCATTTTGGACTTAATGATCTTGAATGAGACCAAACACCCGAGTATGAGCAATGGCCTTAATAACAAAGACAACAAATTCAGAATCTGGTGTATATGTGATAACATTTTTATTTCGTTTCATCGCATTAATGATGTTGGATATGTTATAGTTACATCGATCTTACGACAAAGTTGTCTTATGAATATATATTGTAAATCTATAATTTATGTTAATTGTCTATTTATTGCTTTGATATTTGGTTCTTTCCCATGCTTGATAGCAAGCATGGCTATAAGGACTAGTATTGTTGAGTAGAGAAGGCATGGTTTGCTACTATATGGACTGAATGCTAGTTATTATTCATAAATTTGCATGGTAAATCTTGAAGAAGTTTAATGCTGTGGTCATTTGAAACATTACAGACATGGCAATGGAAGCATTTAATGTTTTTTTCCTCCATAGTTATTTATAGATTTTATAATGACTACAAGCATGTTGGGGGTATTGAATCGAAAAATTTATGGATGATATGTTTTGGTTCATCTCTTGTCGGGTTTGTGTTGATGGGTGAAATTAACGCACTGCTATCGTTGTGATATTATGAATTGAGTCCACTACTTTCTTATCTTTTGATTTTGGACACCCTAATTGTGCCATTCAACTCTGTACATGGAAGCTAAAGTGATAACTAATAACAATGTTGCACACACTACTTTTTTATGTCACTTTTGTATACTACCTCAACATAGACCGTTAGATTAGTAAGTTTCAAAGAATTTATTAAATATTCTATATTAGGTGGTGTAAGGAGGTGGTGCACAAAAATAATGTCCACAGCATTGTTCGACAACTAATCGGCAAAAAAAGTAGTTCGTTAATAGGATCCTTTCCCTGTGGCCAAGAACCTATGCTGGCACTGACAGTGGGGGTGGGGGGCACCCATGCCACTGGCCTTGGGGGTGGACAAGAATCGAGTGTGCGGGGCCAGGTACGGTTTGGTGGCTACCCACCCCATTGGCATTAGCGGTGGGCATGGATCGACCAGTCCACTGGCCAAGGTGCTCCCGCCCGACAAACGTAGAGTATGGGGGAGGCACCTTGGCGCATCATGGGCATTCACTTAGTCCATGGATGGTGACTAAAATAGATGTAGTATACCCCCACACCGGTGGTATTAGGAGTGTCGACTTAGCCCATGGATAGTAAAATACATACTATGTTATATCTCATTTATTTGATATTTATTTTTAACTTCTAAGCATCACAAATTGAAAGTTTTTTGTATATTATAACACAAATTAATAAAAAAATCAAACAACGGGCCAAGGTCTTTGGCCCACCTAACCTATGGGCCCCTTTTGTTTGATGATAATAATAAAGAAAATTTGAAGGTCGATCCCCTATATAGATTTGTTTGGACTTAAGTCTGTCAAATAAACTTATTTGTTATAAAGTCTATTTTTTGTCAATTTTATCATACTATACTTTTCATTTAGAAGTAGAATAAAACTAAAAATTAAAAATTCTTAAATCATAGGAGTTTGACGAACATTAAAATTTTTCCTCTCTCATATCTATCTATATCCATATATATGTTAAGAGTTTGACTAACATTAAAATTTTTCCTCTCACTTATCTATCTATATATAAGGTATATATATGCATATATATATAGTAACATTAAAAATAAAAAATAGTAACATTCAAATACAAAAAAAAATTATCATTTGGACACAAAAAATAATACATTTAAACACAAAAAAATAGTAACTTTTAAACATAAAAAAAATTGAAACATTCAATAATATTTTTAAAAAATAACAACAGTAACATGTTCAACAAAAATAGTAACATGCTTAAAAAAAGTTGTAACATACTTAACAATTATTTCTCTCAAATTCAAGCGCAAAAAAATAGTATCATTCAATACAAAAAATAGTAATATTCAAAAAAAAATAATAACATTGAATAATAATATTCAAGAAAATAATAGTAGTAACATGGTTAACAAAAACAGTAACATGCTCAAAAATAATAGTACATGAACAGTAACATACTCAATAAAAGCAGTAACATGAACAGTAACATAATAAAAAAAATAGTAACATGAATTTGAATTTTACTATTCAAATTCATAATAACTTTTTTTTTTGTATTTGAATGGTACTATTTTTTTTAATATTACTTTATATATATATATATATATATATATATATATATATATAGATAAGAGAGAGGAAAAATTTAATATTAGTCAAACTCTTAACCCATATATGAATATAGATAGATATAAGAAAAAAAATATTAACTTTATTTTAAGGAATGATATATTTGAGATAAAATAAAAAAATAGACTTAAATCATTACATATAATTTTAAACATGGACTTAACCCCTTATAAGTTTCCTTACAAGACTTATTTTCAAACAAGTACATCATCTAGGGGACTCACTCCCAATTTTCCCTAATAAAAAGGATTAATTACAAATTTTTCCCTTGAACTATGCCTCTTACTCCAATCAACTCCTTGTAATTTCATATACTAAAATTTATCCCCAATAAGTTTCGAGCGAACTAAATTGACTAATAACAGTAATTAGAACATGAAAGTACCATTACACCCTCCATCTTGTATACATATATATATATGTGTATATATATATATTTTTTTTTGAGATATCAATTCTATCCTTAAAAAATAAGGAAATGAAAATATCAAGAAGAAAACACATTTGTTCAACCTAACACCAACACACTTCACAACATCATAATCGCTTTTACTTTCGCCTCCGCCTCCACCTAACACCAACACATGCACACGCACACAATGTAGTGGTAATTGTATATTTGCAACGAAATAAAGACCACATAAATTTCTCATGTTTAACTTACGCTATTTTTTATATTAACCGTTGGAGTTAATTACAAAATATTCAAACTTTACGAAGGCTATTTGTTAAAATTAAAACCAAATAGGATGAATGACAAACTTTTCAAAATTAAAGGGAGTATTTTGTAATTAACCCTAATAAAAATGCTCAGATTTCATCCAAAAGTACATCTTTCATCCTTCTGAGATGTGCTCTAAGTATCCATTCACCTCTTTCCTAAGCAATTCATCAACTTCTCCCCAATAACATCACTGTTCAGCAAATTTCAATAACAGATCAGACCATAAGGTTGCGAAAACTTAAATAAAATTTACCATTCAAATAAAGGAATCCTTATTTCTCTTCAAATCTAAGTTATTGTTGCCTCTACATTCTTCATTCAAAAAAGGGTCCTATATTAAAGCATATCATCATCTTTGGAGAAAGAGGCAATACAGCACCAGTTGAGATACCAGGGTATTCGCTTAGAGCTGGATAATGCATCTAGATAATCTCCCAGTCAGAATCACAAAAATCATAATCTGGCGACTCCAATTCACCCGTTGGCGAGGTTCGTGTGAAATATTTCCTGATTGGTTGCCCTGATTCTGCATGAAGATCTTCAGGACAAGTTGCTTGCTGCCCACATTCCTGCTCTTTTGCGAACTTCATTTCCAAAGCAGAAAACTCCTCAATAGTTTCCTGGAAATAATCGTATAAACATATAGCAGTTAAGTTGCAACCCTAGAGGGTTGGGGCTTTTTTTTTTTTTTTGTGGGGGGGGGGCACCTGATAAGAACGGTTCTTCAGTTTACTGAACTGTTGAGTGGCCTCCATGGCTGATTCATTAACATGGTCGTCCCTGGACTCTTCTGTATTGGTGTCACCTGACATTACACCAAAGGAAAATTCAAAATTATATGCATTTTGGTTCAACATTTCATGTCCTCTCACTCCAAATCCAAAGCAAAGGGTGTAGCTGATTTTTCGCCTTACTGTTTCAGTAGTGGCCTAGTTTTTTATATACAAATATCTTAATATTCAGCAGAAATGCAAGGAAGACACCAACCAGTAACATAGTGGAAAAATCCTGATTCAAGCACGAAACATGGAAACAGATTTCAGATATACACTACACTGATAATGGAAGCGGGTGAGACTGGGATTGCTTTTGTGTGATTCCACAAAACTCCCACTATACCTGCCATTCTAGAGCAATTGTTGGCCATTATTTTCTTCCTCACTTATTTGTCAATAATGTAGGTGCAGAAGCCCATCATAGATGAGCTTCTTAAGCTCGCTCTAAAAGTTGTGAATTTAGGACTCCAAGACAATTATGCAGAGGGGTTTTTTAACAACATAGTTAAAATATTCATGTGATTGTCTAGGTGTGAGGAAGAAGAAGCTCAAGGATTAAAAACCCATACTAAAAAGAAAATAAAAGGCGTCAACATTTCTTCAGACACTGAAATCTTACGTTTTGTTCTCTCTCTAGTTCTTGTCTGTGGTTTGGACTCCTAGGTCAGCAAGTCAGACTAGTATATAGTCAATGACAGAGGAGTTTGAGGTTGGATGTCTGAATTCATTAAGTCCACACTTCATATGCTTTCCAAGAGTATGTAATCGAGCTAAGCTGAGCCGAGGCGAATATTATTGTGTTTTCACTCAGCTGTTCTTTCTCATGCTTCATCTCACCTCTTGTTAGAGACCAGCAATTCAGCTCAGCTTGAATTGCTTCTTAATGTGCTAAGTCCCCACTCAATCAGCCATCCGTCATCATTGATTAGATTATAACCAAGAAAAAGACGTGATCTCCTTACTTGTGAGAGTACCAAGAATAAGTCCAAACTGATTGGAATGTCACACCTTAGTCTCAAGGTAACTTAATTCAAAACAAAACAAAAGCTATTTAATATGCTTCAGAGTACACTTGGCCATATCTCACTACCAAGAAAAACATTCATTGAAGCGATAGCTTGGTCTCCTTCAGCTCGAGCCGACAAATGGTCAGACTCAGCTCGATTTCTTCAGAGCTTGAAAAGGAGCAAGTAATAATTAAAAGAAAATCTAAAAGCAACTAGGCTATGCATATAAAAAAACTCACGCTAATATATCCACAAGGAAAAAATTATGATTACTATCTAGGTATACAAACAAGATAACACTGCAGTCTCCCACTGAAACACAAATTGCAACACTAATGGGCAGATTTTCCAATCTCTGTGACCAGAAGAGCAGAAAACAATTGAAACACATTATATCTAGAATACTAATAGCATACGTTGTATAATCAAGCAGATGCATAAAATTGCAGAAATGTTGGTAAAAAAATGAAAAAAATGGACAAAAACAACAATAAGAAGAAATTCCAATTTACCAAAATCTGGATGACACAAAAAGCTTTCAAATTCTACAAATTCATTGTGCGCCTCAAATCCAGATAAGCAAGACTCCGGCGATGAAACACTCTCGTCAGAAGTTGAGGTATCTATGCCAGCCAATGTAGAAAGTAACAAAGAGAATCCAAGTTAAGGAATAAACTAGTGGCATATAAGGGCAACGTAACACAGACCATTTGAGACTGCTGACAAGGTAAAAGAAGAAATAAATCCACTATCTGAAATGTTATACTCACAGGACTCGGTAAGGATAACAGAATCAGCTGATGGCAGGGGCTCGGGAATATCAGGTTTAGCATCCACAAGGTCACTAGGTTCCCCTGCTTTCATAGAAGAATTGCACTCGTGAAATTCAACTGATATTAAGGTTGACAAACAAACTTCACCACTACATCCTTTTTTTTCATCATTGGACCAGTTTCCTCCACACACTGATGATCTGATGCTCAAATGTTCTTCTGCAGGATCAGCTACTTCTGGAATCTCTGAGGGAAATAATTTCCCATCCACTTCATTTCCCTTGACACCCACGTTTGACCTTTCAAGCATCCCAACATCAGCATTTTGCTCAAGAGATGAATCAATATGTAACTCAACAACCTGCTCCACAACGGATGCATGAGACAAAGAATTTACATCACAAAGCCCCTCCTTTAGGTCTTTCTCAACACCTACTTTTAACCTTTCACAAGCCATGCGATTCATATTTGTATCTTGCTCTAAAGATGGATCAGGAGATTCTTCTTTCGTAGAATCCACTATAAACTCGGGGAGCACATCTTGCACAATATCTGAACAGAATTGTTTGACATTGGCACCTGCTCTCAGCAATTGACCTTCAACATATTCATATGGTTTCTGCACAAGTAAGCAATTAATCATAATGCGAAGAAACTAAGCAACTTTAGTGGCCAATATGAAATGCAGCCAAGCCAAGACAAAGCAACAGATCGACCATATGGAAGAAAGAAAGAAACAAATTTACATGAAACCCCACTTCAACAATTTCTTAGGCAAGAAACCAGGTGGCACAGATTTGTTGTAGGTGCATAAACCAATTTCAAGTCAAGTTAGAAAGAATATTTGTTACTGTCTGATCACGCAATCAGGATTAACTTCCAAAGGTAGATTATTGGCCACTCTTTTTCCTTTAGTTTTTTTTATTAATTTTTTCAAAAATTTCAGGAAATGTGGCACTCAAAGCATGACCAGAAAATTGGGTAATAGAGTAAATTTGGAGAGGACAGACCCAAAAAAACCAAAAATTTGAACTAGTTCTGATTCTGGCACAAATTTATCAGCAAACCACCAAGGGACAAGCTCTAACGAGATTGATCAAAAGAGAACACAAATACAATACCTCCTGACACACAATATCTTCCAATTCCGAGTAGAAAGCCGCAAATTCCTGTCTTATGTTCCCAAACCATGATACACTTTTACTGTTGATATCCATGTTCAGATGAAGATAATTACAGTCTAGGTGGATTCAGTTTCTTCACTTCCTTCTCAAAGAGTGTTAGACACCTGCAGTCATTCAACTAAAATGAGTAAACATTCGGGTGAATTCAATGGGCAACATGCCAAATGGCAAGATCATAATGAATCAAGCTAAAATGCATACTTAAGTGCCTGAAACAAGTTTATTGCTGCCCACCAAAAGCACCATTAGCAAGCTAATTGCCTAATGTAGCCTCTGTGTACAGGCAACAAAACCAACTGAAGTATGGAAACAAATATGGTTCAGCCAAGGAAAAACTATGCCAAAATATTTTGTAAACATGGTGACGTTTGTGATGTCTGCATAAGTATGTAGCAGAGGGAAGTCCGGTGCATGAAGTATGGAAACAAAATTTGAATAATATAGTCCGCACATGATGTTTGGCTAGGGGCCTGTGAATGGGGGAAGGCAGAAGAAAAGGCAAGCCCTCATACCCTACACTATGCAAAATAATTTATTTTTAAGTGGCCAAAAGATCAGAGTGGGAACTGAGACACTAAGGCTTCACAGGGCAATATGTTGTATAATACGAAGTGCTTAAACGATGGGACATGATCAAGTGGCTGCACCTTGAAACCATTCATTTTGTATCTCATAAATATTAGCTGATGGTATAAAGTGCCACTAATGAAAATAACCTCTTGAGCATAGACGAGGCATGATGGAATTGGAAGGACAAAGAAGCTCTTATCCAGTCTAAAATTTTCCTAAAATTAAATTTATGTCCAAAAGGTAATTATAAAGATGATGCCTCGAAACAACAAATTATGTCGGTTCTAAAAGACATAATCACATGTGCCAATTAATAATTTCATTATACCAACTATTATGTTTGCATATAGAACAAATGAAATAACCATGTGAACATAGTATCTAGTTGTAATATCTAAGGTGAACCTGACCAAACTGTGGGTCCAAGTGATGAAATTACCAAAAAAGAAATTTTTATTTTGTCTGCCACAAAAGTTTTGTATAAACTGTAGGGAAGAAATGGCAGAACATGAGGTTTTATTGGTCTCCCTTTTATGATTGTGTTATCAAACAGATAAGTTGGTCTCAACTAGGTGGTTATTATACTACTGCAGTCTTGTGAGTTCCCGAATATATAATGTCTCCATTATTTAGAATTTTCAGCCAAAGCAACACTGACCATTGATTAACGAAATTTTTTTTCTTCTTTCTCTCAAACGAATATAAACCAAGTCAACACCCCTGATAATGGAGGCACACTTGTGATGGGCACTTGAAGCAAATTTGACACATTTTTGTTGCAATTCACTGAAATAGGCTAAACATTGTATCTTCCTACCTAAAATTTAATTAAAAATCTTTAATACAAAAAAAAACTACCACCCCGCCCCAAAGTGCACCCCCCAAAAAAGTGATAAGCGAAAACTAGACTCCACAACAGTAAGGGAAGTTCTAACATAAGGAGTTACAAACCCAGGCACTAGAGGCTTCACACAATGTTCGTCAGTGATTTAATAAATGCTTTAACCACTGTCTAAGGTTTTGTTGATAAATAATTGAAAAGAACAAAAAGGTGATAAATTTTAGCTACAATAGTTACTATCCAACCATAAACATTCCAGTTTTAATCTTTACCAAACTCACAAACTTGTTAAACTGATTTTTACATATGTAGTTTATATCAGTCAGTGAAAAAAAATCAACAAACTAAACCCCATAATTCACTTGATTAACGTAAAATATTATTTCACACTCACTGATAGACTAGGAAAATAAGGAAAAAACAAGAAAAAAAATCTAATTTATGAACATGGAGTGAGTGCAAAAACTTGTTAAATAGAAGGTTGATCACTTAACAGTTTAGTATGATTGATACCCAAAAGCTAATAACTTGAGAAATCAAAGACTTCAAGCCAACTGAGATCACTATAGCTCTAGTGGATCAGAAAAAAACATTCAGATAGTAGCACTTATGATCCAACCATAAACATTTCACCTTTAATCACCACCAAAAACCCGTAAAATTAGTTAAAATTTTTACAGAAGCAATTTATATGGGCCAGAGATGAATAGATGAGCTAAACACCAAAATTCATTTGATCAACCTCTATGATGATCCAGAGAAACGTGTGATTTCTAAACCCATTGATATAACCCAAGAATTTCGCTGTTTCGATTCTGCTAGTCCTTGGGAACAGCATAGCAACGATATTTAAGAATCATAACAGGTCCAATCCAGGGGACAAATCAATAGGAAATGCTATTTGCTTCATAAGAATGAAGAATGGAAAAACATTACTTCACAGTCACTGATAGACAAAGAAAAGAAGAAAACAAGGAAAGAAATCTAATTTATGAACACAGAGCAAGTACATAAACTTGTTTAAATCTAAGGTTGATTACTTAAAACGTTAGAATGATCATAACAACATACATAGTCCGGCTCGTAATCAAACCATAAATATTCCACTTTCAATCACTACCAAAACTCACAAATTTGTTAAAATTAATTTTTACAGAAACAATATATATGGGTCCGTGATAAATCAATGAACTAAACATCAAACTTCACTTGATCAACGAACAACATTACTTTACCGCCATCGTTAGAATAAAAGAAGACAACGACGAAAGAACTCCAATTTACGAACATTGAGCGAATACACAAACTTCTTTAATTGAAGGTTGATCACTTACAAGTTCGAATAATTGATACCCAGAAGCTACTATGTTGAGACCGAGACCATTATCGCTCCAGAAGACCATAAAAACAGAGAGAGAGAGAGAGAGAGAGAGAGTACCTTTATATAGTGGGGTGCATAGTGGAGAGTCCAAGGCACAGAGGCAAACTCCTTCCGAACATAAGTAGGAATCTAACATCATGTTTCGTTTGGCATGGGATAATAATTGATAATAACAATAATAATAATAAGATTATGAAAGTATTTTACATGGGAAAAAACCACCAAGACCCCCTTTTTTTTGAGTTAATTGCATTGGAGATTCCCAAAGTATGGAATTTGTTTCATTTTAGTTCTCAATATTTTAATTGCAGTATTTTGATCCCTGAAATATTGAATATGTTTCTATATGGTCCCTCAAGCAAAAAGCGTCTAGATTACTAACGATTTTTTTATCATAAACTTGTCGCCTGATACGTAAATATGGATAAAAAATAATTTTGATAGCTCTGAAACAAAATTTGAGCAGCATTTCACAAATATGTATAATATGAGTAGCTTTTGACAAAAATTTGGATAGCTCAATATCAAAATTATGTAATTTGGATAGATATTTAACCAAAATTTGAGTAAAAATTTGGTCAAGAGTTATCTAAATTATATTTTTTTTATATTTAAGTATCACGTGACAAGTTTATGATAAAAAATTATTAGCATTGGAGACCAAAATGAGACAAACTCATACTTTAGGGACCTCCTGTATAATTAACCCTTTTTTTTGGTTTTTTCTTTTTTTTTTTTTGGAGGGGGAGGGGGGGATCAGAATAAGTACAATTTTGCATACCAAGGAAATTCTAAAAAATTAGGTATAGTACTTTAAGCATATAACATAGCTAGTGTATTCATTATAATTTAAAAAGTGTTATGCAGCTTAAATTTGGATCCAAAATAACATCCCAAATAAATGAGTATCAGAGTGAATCACGTTAACTTTTTTAAATGAGACTCACTAATTCAATGGTCCTAATTGATTTAAGATGCCATTTAAAATTTCAAATTTTGATTGCATAGCATTGTTCTAGTAATTTTAGTTTTAGTTTTTTGAAGCCATTAATTTTATTAATTTAAAAAAAAAAAAAAACAACATTTTGGCCAGTTAAATCAGAAACAGCTTCTTAATTTGATTAACTTTTACAAAAATCGTAATCTGAGATTGATTTTATAGCTTAGGTTTAATAGATTATGCAATTTTTAAAGGAAATAAAAACTTATTTTCACTATTTATAAGGGATAAATAGAAAATAAATTTGGTACTTCAATGAAATCTTCTTTAAAATATAGTAGTTAATAGCTGAGGCCAAACTATTGGTCGAAAGGGTGCCACTGGGAGCCACGGCATGTCCTGAACATATACAATTTAAGCTAGTCCAATGGACATTCATACCATCCTCCGGGTTATGATTGGTTTTTTATTTTTTAGTTTTCATTGGACTCAACAAACGTAACATGTGCTTATATAGACGCTATGCAACTTACATTTTTAAGTGTAAATCCTATAATTCTCGTTGATCCAAAAAAAAATATAACACGTGTAAACTATTTTTTAATTAACCCTTAAAAGTAATCCAATAATTAAATCTCATTTTTAATAACCCAAAGTCTCAAGTTCTATTACTTTCCACATCTCCTAAAGACTAACCGCCTTTGTCTCTTTTAAATATGTATTCTAACCCAATTCAAATCACAATTACCGGCCACTAAATTCGGGAAAGTAACAAACACAAATATGAAACCCATGTATCCAAAAAAAAAAAATGCTATTCTTTAACCATTTCACATTACATCATCATTTCAATCAAAATCTACAACTACAAATCAATTTTAAGATAGTATTGAAATTCTTTTATTTTCTTTTTTCTTTTTTTTTTTTTGGAGAGAAAGAGGGGGAAGGGGGGGCTTCCCTAGAGGACCCGAATGAAGCTGCTAGTCAAGAAAGATGAAAAAGTAGCTACACCTTGCAGACTATAGCCATATCCGTAATATGATAGGCAATCAACCATCAAAAGAATAGAAAAGAGACAACAATGCTACTCCATTTAAACTTTTACCAAAATTTTCGATCTCAAATCAATAACACCCATAGAATTAATAGGTCCCACAAACTTTCACTAACTAGTCGATGATTCTCAATTGCTACATCATTTGAGATCTAAAATTTAATAAAAGACTTGATGGGCATAGCATTTTCCAAAAAGAAATAACAATTGAAAGAGAAAAAAAATACATCCATAAGAGGCAGATTGTGTTCCATGACTGATGGCTGTACAGAGGAAAATCTACCTTTCTTTGTGGTTATGATTTCCGTTGGCAGCACAGGTAGAAACGACGAGTTTCAACCACCTGTTTTAACGGGCTCTAGTAATGTGTCTCCTCTTCCCGTTTTAAGGTTGAAGATTCCAAAATTGACACTAATTTCCTAATCTAGGAACTGGCCAAGGGGACGTCCTCACCGAGTGAACAACTCAGGTTTCATCCTCACCCTCTGCTTCCCTCCCGCACATAATATGTGAAGGTCTTGCATGTACAAAGAAACACAGGCATCATACTAGAACAAATAATACCAACTTCTCGAAAACTAGTTCAGGTGGAAACATAAGACAAATCATCACCCTCACACGAGAGAGAGAGAGAGAGGGCATGAAAGAAGCAGTCAAAATAACATTTCACAGTTACCGGCAAAATAAAGTAGCCAGGAAATCCAAGCGAAATAAACTTCAGGCAACCAGGATGCGTCTTCTACAAGTCAACAATTATTTCAAAACAAAGCAAAACTGAGAAACTAATATCACAAATGGTATAATATGTACAGCTGAAGTGGGAAGCTTATGTTGCAGGTAAACAGGCACCTTTCATGGACACACAATTGGGCAGAGAAACAAACTGAGACAACAGTATGCAGATACATCAACATGACAAGGCACATGCAAGATATAAACAAAGTTGTATTCTTGAGTGCTGCCATACTAAAATATGCTCGGATTTATTTTCAGATGATGACTCAATCAATTTAAGAACCTGTCTAAGCAAATCTCAAAGCCAGACTTGGATTCCAGCATCTTAAGGCCAAATCAAAGGTGTTAGGGTTGAGAAATTACAATGTCTTAAATGACAGTTGAGAGATACTGCCATCTCCTCCCCTGCCCTTCTTCCTCGTCTTTCACATTCAACAATATACAGAAGAAAACATGTGCTACAAGGGTGTCATAGACACTAAAGGATTTGAATTCCTTATACCTCTCAAGTCCCAACTAAAGTCTCTCAGTGCCATCCCTTACATAGACCATGCAACAAATGAAAACAGTGGGAAAGCAATGTTATTGTGTCATATGGTGCAGCAATGACAGTAAGCATACATAGTAGGACAAATTCCAGCCACTCAACTATGGACTCACAAAGTTGCCAAATCTGTTTTAAAGAAAACAATAATTGCTAAAACAGTCCACAAACGGTGAAATGAGATGTGCCTCTTTGCGAACCAAGATAGAGCCATGAAAGGATCTCTTCAAATGATAAAAAGTGCAGCATCATAATAAATGGAAGAACATACTCATCAGCAGCATATAAATAATTAGCAACTAGCTATAGTGATTATATCAAAGAGCATCGATAAAAAAAAACAGATTGGCAAATCATCTTATAACAAATACAGTATCCTCTTCAAGCTAGCAAACTCCACTAACTGCTTCACAAGATGCGACAAGTTATAAGGGCAAATAGAGTGCAGTAGCAACAAATGTATAGCAGTCCATTTATCAACCAAAGATTGCAGTCTGCAATTAAGAAATCATCACAACTATTCAAAGCATTTGCGCCCAAAAAGCCCTCATACACCTGAACCAAATACACATTGGCATCTCAATCCTCCATTCAATATAAAAACATATACAAGAAGTTCATGTAAGCATATATAAAGAGTAACAGTGAAAATCATTTAATAGTACACAAGTGAAGGTGTCAATCAATCAATCTACTACATACAAGATACCACAGCAAATTATCTTTCATGGAAAATAGTCACACGTAAAAGGATGAAATAACATGACAAATTCCATCAAGAAGCACAGACAGAGATAAACACTTAAAAAAATTTGCAAACAGATAAGAAGATATCAAAAAGATAACAAGCTGAGCGCAACAAATATTCCACCCGTATCTGATTACACTTGCCTAATCATAACTTGAGTAGGAGCCTATGGTTTCTATCCTGAAGCACTACATGTAGTCACATCAACATATTACGCTTGCAACATTACAGAACTGTATGAGGAACAAAAAGCAAAAGAGACACTACAATTTTGTTGTTTTACCCCAGAATTATCAACAACATGCCATTGAAGTATCTACACACTTTAGGGCAAACAATCTCAGATCCTAATCCAAACAGTAAGGGTTGAGATTTCTATATTGGACTAACAAACAGGAAAAAAAAAATGGCCTGTCAACCCTATCCGTACAGAGTTACAATGAATGTGCCCAAACAAAGTTTTACATGGAAACTTTATTTCTCACTATAGAATCGTCGAACTCTCCATGGACTGTTTGTCATGATCATTTAACAGTGCCAAAATTTGCTTCTAATGCAAAGAATTCCAAACCAAGCTTACACACCATTTTTATCAATAAATCATGACCCAATATGAAACCATTCTATTTTTCAAAGGCTTAAGTTTGACACAGGAAAAACTATGGCAGTGGTATTGTAGACAATTACATAAATTATGCCTTCACACTAACTATAGAGAAGATGAGCTCATTCAATCAACTCCAAAGGATTGCAGAATGGATAATACTATCTGCAACCAAAACATTATTTTTTATATCCTTAATGATGAAAATTCTATGCACAAGTTTCCCCAAACCACATCACGTAAGCTGATCTCAAGTCAAACATCTCCAAACAAAGCTTACACACCATCTTTAACAAAATTATATCAACATTCTAATGCAAGAAAACTTTCAAAAAGGAGCTATTACTTTGAAAGTGGCATCATAAAACCTATGAAGCACCAATTAGGCTAGAGGGCATGAACTGGCACCATACAAGCAAGCTTATGTGACAAACTTGGGGGAAAAAAAAGGGAATATATGGGCCAGAATGCTGGCAATATCAGTGCATTGCATGAACATTAATATCATTTACGTACTTCATGAACATTAATATCATTAATCGATCAATTATCAATAAACTAAGTTCCCAGGAAGCACGGATACTCATAAGGGGGTCGCCATGGTAGTGTCGGACAAGTGTCTAACACGGATACGTGTGGGACACAGCCGGACACGTGTCTGACACCTCTAGAAGTGTCCTACACAATAGATTTGAAATTTTTTTCAACCGGATATAGCTCGGATACGTGGGGGAATACTTTTCTTATTTTAAAAACTTAGAGGGCTGAAATGAAAAAAAAAAACGACCAGGCGATGTTGTTTTTGAGGTTGAAAAAGAAAAAACAAAAGGCAAACCCAAATCCAAATCATGAAGGCCTTAGCCTTCGACTTTTTCACTATGAGAGAGAGAGAGAGAGAGAGAGCGAGGAGAATGACGACGTCGAGGAAAAGACCAGAGGAGGAGAAGAAAGAAACAGGAGAAGAAAAGGGAAGAGGAAGACCAACCTGGGACTTGGGAGTCTCAAATATGCTGCTTCAGCTTGCCTGCGCCTTCGAGTTTCAGATCTGTTGCTTGTTGTTATCAAGTTCCTCTTCTTTTTTGTTACCTTGGACTCAGATCTTCTTTTTTTGTTTTTCTGTTCTGTGGTGGATTAATTTGATTGGTTTAGGGTTTTCAAATTTTTGGGGTTTTTTTTGTTGTTGTTGTGCTGCTGTTTTTGCTGTGATGTTGTGCATTTTTTTCTCTGCCTCGTATCTTCCTACTGTACTATTGGCTGTTGCCGTCTGGGTTGGTCTGGTGTTGCTGGTTTTCAAAAACCAAAACTTGCTTACCTTCTGGCTTTTATCTTCCTGGAAGTGAATTGAAGAGGAATGTGTAGGATTTCTTTTGTTTTTGTGTTTTTTTGTTGGTAAACTTGCAGACTATGAATGCTAATTGGTGTAATTATATTAGAAGAAATGTTGGATGTGTATTTTTGAATCTTTGATCTATTTCAATAATAATAAAAAAAGTACTGTTTGCTATGTCTTGTTTGTTTTATTAATGTTGTTGTTATATATATAATTATTTTAATTAGTCATATCCTCGCTGTACCCATGTCTTATATTTTGGGATCTTACTATATTCCTGTGTCCGTATCGTATATGACACCCGTGTCCATATTCGTGCTTCTTAGCTAAGTTCCAAATTGTAACGCTGACAATGCCTAAAGACAACATCAAACATGATATACTCCTTGTTTCCTAAAATGGTACATATGACCAGGCACTAAATGTTCCAATGCCTCAACAAAACACTCAAGGAGATGTTTCATTTTTTACTAGAGGTCTCTAGACTAATAACACAAGTTGTATCTGCAGCATTAACCTTCCAGGCAAATAGGAGTCCCCATAATTCTGCATAATTCAGCCTAACTATTGCCAAATGCTCAAAGGCACATCTAAACATGCCAATAAGAAGCACAATCAGTAAACAGGTAACACATACTACGCCCCTCAACAAAAGGTCTGGAAATATTTGTTCATACATTAGCAGTTAATCACCATTGAGATCAATAGTTTCCTAACTTTGAGATTAGCATTCAAGCAACAGCATGTGTTCTTGAATCGTATTGCACCAAATACTAATTACAACAATTATATGTTCTATTTTCTTTATTTTTTGATAGGTTAAGAAAATGTGAGAAAATTGTAAGAATTTCAACACCACTCTGCACTAAGTGGGGAAATCTTATCGTTAGCAACCACTAGACTTCATCAAACAAAAGATACAAAAACAGGGGCAGTTTCAGCACTATCTAGCAAATCAGAACATTGAATTTGTAATATAGGGCAAGTGTCACCCAACTCCCCAGCACCAACCACCCAAAGGAAAAGAGCTCGCCAATCGGAAGGGTAGTGAAGAAAGGAAATTCCTTTAGAAGACAAGTAATACCTCACCCTCCCCCCTCCAAAAAAAGAAGAAAAAACAGAAATCTTAAAAGAGAGAAGGGAAAAAAGAGGATTCTAGTATGGCACTTGTAAACACTACCAACATAAAAACGTTATTCAGACAGCGAGGCTTAGAAGATTTTCCTAAATCGAATTTTTGATCCAACAAGATATAACAATGACATGTAATAATTCCAAAATAACGTACTGGTACTGTTGGGAATACAGGATGAAGCAAAATTAGATTGATTAGGTATAGGCACAACCATAGAAAAATCTCACAAGATTTATCGTGATGAACTTATTGGACCAAGTAATACTATATGTACCTAATTTGTTGAATTATTTCACTACAGTGGATTAACAGTGAATCCTAATGTTACATGGAGTCTGCTAACAATGACTCAATGCAACCACTACAGTAGATAAGGACAACAAATTAAGTTCAAATAACATTTTTATCTTTGATAACCTAATTTTTCAGTGAGCACCAGAATACAGAACAATGAGATGCCAAATTGAATAAATGATGCAACTGATGTGGTAGAAAAACAGACCTTGACCACATCATGCTTTTAGCATGCACAAAAATAATACAAGAAGCCAGTTAAAATAAATGAAGCAATTGACCAAGAAGAAACAATAGAACGATGGCAGCAAAAACACACAAAATAAGGATGGAATGACCAAGGGAACAGTGAATAATATAGAGGAACATAAAAATCTGAGCTTGCTGTGAAATGAACACTACATAACAACTTTAAAATAAAAAAAAACAAAACAGAAACGCACAACAAGAAGATCATCAAGACAATAACAAAAACAAGTAACAGCCATTCAAAACGCAATGAAATAAAGCCCCGGACTATTAGCAACTTCGTTAAGTACCACAAAAAATCCATCATTTAGGCAAATGGATAATCCAACCAACCAAGCATATCAACAAATATTAAACCTGGTGCTGAAAAAGCTAATTATAAAACCAATAAAACAAAGATAAACAAAATTACCTCAGTAATAAGGTGGAACACCCTGGTACATGCCACCTGGAGGAACTCTCTGTGGACCACCCGAAGATGGCTGGTGCAACTGTGTTGGATATGCTGACGACTGTGTAGGATATGCTGACGATGCCATACCATAATTCCCACCATCAGGATATCCTCCTGAACTAGGCAATCCAACAGAACTCGGCGGCAACCTATACATGGAAGCCCCTGCAGTGTTCACTCCACCGTACTCCCCTGACCCAGCAGCCACACCACCAAACTGTGAACCACCAGTACCATATCCCCCAGGACCACCATATCCACCGCCAGTAAATGAACCTGCTGGCCCTTGATTACCAAATCCCGGCCCTCCAATCCCCGAGTGTGTGTTCTGATGGGACAATCCCACTGCTGGCCCACCCGAAAAACCTCCATAATTCGACAACCCACCACCTGGAGCACCATAATTTGAATTCATTGACCCAGGTGCGGGCATTCCCTCACCTGGCATCCCAGTATGTCCCATATTCGGTTGAATCCTCCCTTTTTTGTTATCAGTAGCCAACTTACAAACCACCTGATGCCCATCAATAGTCTTGATGGGATCAACCAACGAAGCCCTAGCCCCCTCCTCAGTCTTGTACACAAAAAAGGCAAACCCTTTAGGCTTCCCTGTTTGCTTATCAAAACCTAAAGGCCCTTCCTCAATCTCTCCATACGCCGAGAAATGGCCCAACAACCTCTCCGACGATATCTCAAACGGCACATTTCCTAAATAAATCTTCCTCAAATTCACGTCAATATTATTCGAAGCCCCCGAATTGCCCGCCGCAGCCAATTGGGTCACCGTAATTCGTCCATCTATCTTCTTGTTCGGTTCTTTCAGCGCCAAAATCGCTCCATCGATGTGTTTAAACGTAACGAATCCGTACCCTTTTGATTTCCCAGTGTTTTTATCTATGATGACTATGGCTTCCTCTAGCTCTCCGAAGGCAGAGAAGATGGAACGCAGCTTATCGGTTGTTGTTTCCCAGCCGAGGCCGCGGGTGAAGAGCTTCCGCTGGGAGGGGTCGGAGTCGGCGACAGAGCGGACGGCGTCGAGAAGGTCGGGGTGGTGGAGGAGAGCGGTGCGGAGGACGGATTGGAGTTGATCTTTGGTGAAGGGTTCGAGGATTTTGTCGGCGTCTTCTGGGGTTAAGTGGGTCGGCGGTGGAGTGGTGGTGGAGTCTATACTTGCAGGAAAAACGACGCCATTTTCGTCGGCTTTACGCTTCTTGGAGAGGTCCATGGAGTGTAGAGAGAGAAAGAAATGCAAAACCCTAGAGTGTGTGTGAGAGAGAGAGAGAGTAGGGGCGGAGTGTAGTGGTTTTCAGGTAATCCCTGGAGAGAAGGGGCTGTTAATAATGCGTTGCCAAACGCACCGCAGCGTTTTGGGAAAAGGCAATACGACACCGTTCGGGGGGATTTGGAGTCGGGTCCTCTCATATACTGGACTCTGGGTTTTTCTTTACTTTATGAACCCATTTACCCCTTCTCATAGCGTGGCGTTAGGCCTAATCATGTGGATAGGTCTGTCAGTAACTCGAATTTTAATTCAAATTCAAATCTAAGTGAATATGTCTGTCAATAAATCGAATTTTAATTTAAATTAAAATCTATTTATTTATATATAAACTAAAATTTTATTTTGTTAACCTAAATTTGATTAAATTTGAATTTAAATACATATAAATCTTATTCTGCAAATACTCGATCCAACACACACATACATACTTGAAAGAAATCAATGTATATATTGATAAACTTACACATACATACTTAAATTGTTAATGAAATTAAAAAAAAAATTATTAACCAATGATTTGTTGGTTAAATTAGGTTAAAAGTTTACTAAAATTTAATAACATGTATATATATATAAATATATCTATATAATAAAATAGTTTATAATTTAAATTTTAAAAATTAACAAAATAATTTTTGTTTTTTGCGGTTTAGATCGTTTTAAATTTTACTTTAAAGTTAATCTAATTACTAATATTAATATCTTAAATTTAATAGAAAAAATACGCCCTTAAGGGTATGTTTGGAGTGACTTTTTAAAAATACTTCTACGAATTATTTTTCATTAATATTTTTTAAAAAATAGTGTTTGAAACCGTCTCACCACTACTCTCATTGCTCAACCACCATCACCACCCTCACCCCCACCCCCCACCCCCACCCCCA